GTCGTCCAAGTTCATATGTAGCTCGTTATATTTCCAGCTAGCGCTTCTGTTTGTTTACCTGTTACCTAAATATTTATTTCACGGGCATGTCTGACACTTCTCGATTATTTTGGAAACAAAAGTAACATGTAACATGGTTGCTATGTGTTCTCGGCTTGGTTCAAAATGGACAGGAATATACACTGTTGGGATGAGCCAGATATGAACGGTTTTCTTACTTTTTTGTCAACATATGCTTCACCCATGGCAGAGTGTAATTCTAATTATTATATTCACTGATTGCCATATTCATTTTCGCTTTTTTTTACATGTATCTTCCATAAATAACTATTCTTTTACGAGGAACTTCGAGCGAAATGCGCTGGTTACGCCCAAGGCTAGGATTATTGCAGCCATGACCACTTTTAGCGACAATCGTATACCGGATTACAACATCCATTTTTATTTCATTCTTTTATCTCAGTTCGCCATGTAAAATTTAATCTTGCAAATATGGTGGGTTGGTCGCTAGAGGAGCTGTCGCTCAGTCAGTTTAAAAGTTTATTTGTTCGCATATCGCATTGTTTTATACGATCTTCTGCCTCTACACCGAGTGCCATTTACGGTGCGAATCTTTCCTATGAGGGTTGTTAAGTCGACTTAATTGGCTCTCTGAAGTTTAGATACAAAATATTAATTCTTCCCCACACAAGTGGGTGCATACCTCAACCCGACTCAATGATTCACTGCGGCACTTGTATTCGCTGGTAGTTTTTGTCGGTGCCACAGTGTCTCCGTTATTGTTAACAACCATACAACTTGTTGTTTCGCTGTCAAAGTTTAATTACGCACGGAACGCGTGATTCACGGCAGTTCCGGCATGTGATCAAAGGTTTTTTCGTTTATTACTTAAGTAAGCTTTCTTTAACGTATGCCACAATTACTAAGTACAAATTACAACACACTATTTATTATATGCTTTTAACCGTTTTACTTAAGTTTATCATATTCAAAATAAATAAAATTTATGCATTGGAGGGAAAAGCATAACTCGGTCTGATTTTATTCTTCATGGCTGTTTGTAACCATCGATATCTAGGGGAACCCCGGTTTGACTGAATGATAATCGGCTAAATATAAACCATCATTACATTGTTTAATCCCCGCAAACGTTAATCGAGATACAATAGAGTGATCGTAAGACGGTCTTGTAATCCTCCAAAAACTTTTATCTTCGATAAAATCTCTATATCTGCATGTTTCTGAGCATTGAATATGAATCATGATTTCCATGGGTTATTTTTAGTTTCACAGAACAAATCTAGAGATTACTAGAAAAATAAAATTTAGCATTTTCATTTATTACATCGTCATTTCGTCACTGAATTGAAATCATATTTGCGTCACCATCATTCCGCCATCCGTTTTGTGTTTATTGTTTTGTCGAATCACCAAACAGCGTCAATAACAATCCTGACAGTAAAGTACTTAGTAAAGTACCAAAGCAAGCAGTACTTTTATCCGAACTAAAACTTTCATGAAAATGGTGGAAATACTATCATACTGAAATTGTTTTTTTAGCCATCAGTACGATTTAGCTATGTTATATACATATTAATATTTGTGTATTTTTTATCTAATTCAGATATGAAAAACTATATTAGTCTAAGTTGGCTTTATTAGTCTTTTTTTCCGTTCGATTTAAAATTATTCTATATTTAAGGAGACCTAATACGTGATATTCCCAGCCCTGTTTTCAAATATCGCGGTGTGTGTCTAATATAAGGTTTTATGACAATAAACGTCATTTCATTCGTCTATAGAGATTTATTGCGCTCGTGGTACGTGTAATTCCCTGTTATTTGTGGTCGACTAAAAAGGACAAGTCACATCGAAGCCTCTCTAAATGTCGTAATTATACGTTTTGTTAAATAGATAGATAGACGAATGTCATTTTCTAATTTTGTCCCTCGGGGTTGTTTTGGGGAAATTCGTCCATTTCGTCTGTGAACAATTAAATATGTCGCCAGCTTGCTTGTATTTTTCTAAGTAATTGCATCGGTACGAATAAAATTACCGTTTAGTTCAACGGATGTCATCATGCACGTAGCCAAAGAGCAGTTGCCACCTGTAGTTATGATTGTTATAGTCGTATAATTGTGGAAAATTCCGTTTTATCTTCGATTTGACTTGATAATTAACATTTTGCTAGCAATTTATTCTGAAACACATGTGATGTCATCCGTTATCAATTTTCTTCACCAATATCCAAGAAAATCGAGATCCAACGAGTAGATGAAAATTTAGAACGTTTTTTAACGTGCACTTTGCAAAATTATCTTGTTAAGCTATAATGAAGGACAAATTCGCATGTCACCTATACATAATATCATAAATGTTTTGTGTATTATGCCTAATAAAGTTGTTAAGATGGCCACAAAATTTTGATTCAACGCCTTGGTCACGCCTATAATCGGAAATGACCCTATTTTGCACAGTTTTACCACAATGCACTAGTTGCCGCACGTAATGTTCTGGATTTGGGTTGCTAAGATTGGCAATGCCGAGCTTGAATGTGATTTTATAATTTACTGTCAAGGGCGATGCTGCAAAATCGGCCTAGTCCTTGAATGTCCTCAACAAATTTACTCTTTCATTATAAAAGCGTCTGTGTGCTCAATAGGGCACTAAACGTGGTGAACAGGTTCTTTCTGAAGATAAGCCAACACTTTTCCTTTTGTAGGGTCATTTATCATGATTTTCCCACGTTCTGACGTAAATCACGCGATCGGAAGTCAGAGAGCAGAAACTCTTTAGTAGATCGTTTATATATCAATCAATTGACGCCGGTATTAGGAAACGAATTTCCTTATCTTCTTAGTGTTTGTTGAAGATTACTTCAAATTATTTTAGTTAATACTTGATTTAAATACAGTGGTTTTGTCGCGGGCACTCGCCCGCCATGTTATGATTCATCACTGGTCCATCCTCGGTTCGTTTAAGACAAGATAACGAATTAATTTTACGCAATGCTCAGTTATTTCAGATTCGAGATTTCGACTCGAGATTATGCATTTCATGTTATTTCATTGGCTGGGCGTAATAAAACAATCAGATTTGGTTGCGACATCAACATAAACTTCGCCTACGCAGTTTATTTTAATCAGAATGTCGTGGATTTAATTCCAAATTTGCGGTCATGTCCGCAATCATACTTATTCTTTTATGAGATACTACACGGACCAAAGTTAGATCGATATGTGTGAAACCCTATTTTTCATTGGTTCTTGTGAAGTCTGGTGTGATGCGATCACAATGTGATTTTACCTTCATCATTGACTTATTCAGATCGGGACGCCACTTATCCCCCCTCCTACCCCTCCGGGACGCGTCCGTGTGTTTTCTTTTCCCACGCCACTTTGCAGAGACCGAGTGCGCTTTCCCGAGTCGTTCGTCCATCCATTTTGTCGATGTAGCGGCTTCTTTCAAATTAAACAACTTTGTTAAACGTTGGACGTATACACAGGCAATCATCGACTTGTCGCCCTGTCCTCTTAACAGGCGCTTGTAAATAAACAAATACCATGTAATGTATTTCCGATAGGAACATATTTGTTGAGGCTTGGTTTTCATATTCTGTCTGCGATATCTCCATCCTGATTTATTTTTTCAATGTTCGCATCTAACATGTATCAAACCGAACGCCATAATTTTCATTTCTATATATTTCAATGTGTTATGTGATTGTTTTTCTGAGTATAAGAATTTGACATTTTTTTGAGTGTCAGGTCAACTATTCATTGCTGGTCTGATATTCTGATAATATAATACTTTTATATGCATCTCCCCGCGACATATTATCCATTCGCAGCTATTCGCATTGGGTTTCGCCAATTATATTCACCAATAAAGAATATTTAGATGTTATGTGAAGTATTTCTTGATTTTTCCTATGATGGTGTTCCTTTTGCATTGGGAACACTAATCCTGGAGACGCCATTACTCCATCATCGTCAATCGCCGTCCGTGTGAATTGTTCGACTGAAGACTCGTGTAGGGTGACGACAGTGTCCATTATGAGTGTTCTCCAAACCTACTCGAGCTGTCGAGATACCAACATTATTGAGATAAATCTACATCCTTATGGGGTATTTTACCTTCATGTTGACAAGACAAAATTTCCGATTGGAATTTAAATTCTTTATTTTGTTTGGTCTCCGTGACGCACATTTTATCGAGGACTGATGGCCAACATTATATAACGCAAACTTTTTTGGTGTTGTTGGATTTCTAGTTTCTAATGCCCTATTAATTTATACTATAATATGGTTCCAAATTACTAGCATGTTGTCTTCGTGATACGCGGCGAAAATAAAACGCCGATGTAAAGAAATTAACAAAAACAAGATCGGATAATTAGTTCATGATTGGCAGTTTTGATAGTCAATAAAATTAGGAAACATTGTCAAAGAAAAATTTTTGTGGATGTGTGGTCAAGATGCGTTTTGATAGTTCGATTTATCAAAAATGAAATCAAATAGAACTGTCAACAATTTTGGAATTTTCAAAATACTAATGTAGGACGAAGACGGACGGCAGTGACTTGAAACATGTGCAACAAAGTCGTAGTTTTATGAAGCTAAAATACCTGACGTCCGGCTTACGGACCCGGATAAGAATCTTTAGCCAATTATATCTCTTCGCTTGTGAATACAAACTTTGATTTGCTTGTGTGTGGCCTGCTGGACGGTACACAACCGTAGCCAACATGTCTTCTGTAATTCCACTTCTCATACGCTGCTTATACACTTATAGGCTTCATGTTATATTTGGATTCACTCATGTACTGTCGACCACTTTGTAAGATATTGGTGTAGTTGAAACAAAAGATATTTAGTTGTTGTTTTATTACATGACGCAACGCGTATTTATTTAATACATTGAAAGTGGGTGTAGGGAGGGCGTGGCCCTTGCATTAATTTGTAGGACTAACACTTACTTGTCAATGTCATATTTTCCAGGTCGAAACAAGAACCAGGAAAAAGAAGAAATATTGATGCAAGAATGGTTTCAACTTATACAGAAGAAGAATGCGATTGTTCGAGAACAAGACCAACTTGTTTTATTGTAAGTCACTTTCACTATTTTAATATATATATGTTGTTTGTACTATTTTTTCTGGCGCATTTTAATATTTTTTAGTATATTATATTCAACATTCGATAGAATATTGACTCTCTTTTCTATTTTTCAAGGGAACAAGAGCATGATCTCGGATCGCAAATGAACGAAATTAATGAACAATTACGACCGTATATGGCTATCGAAGGTACGGGATATATTTTGAAGTAGAATACGTTTGAAAACCACATACATTAAACTTTAATGAATGTGGCATTGGCTGTTTTAAATATTCTGTTTTTGTACTTTGCTATATCGGATAGATTTACGTAAAAATAGCTGTGAATCGGATGATTTACTATTTTCCCGGGACACGGGTTTCGCTAACTTTCTAATAAGTTTAAATAGGATAATAATATTTCTTGTTATATAGTAAATTGTATATTCGTCACTGCTGAAAGTTTCTTCATGTTTCTCGAAACTGAAAATTTTCGTTATGCATCTGTTTTTGCTTTCTCCCGCTGGGATGTTTGGAACTGGAGTGCTGTATTTTTGTCCACTTTCTAAGTAATGCACAATGTTTTACCGGGAACTTACGTTGGAATCATCTTTGGTCGTGGATAAACTGCATATCGAATGTGCATTCCATCTACGGCCAGGGAAAGAGTTTTTGAGCAAAATACGATGCTGTAATAAGCTTAGACTCGCTCGCTTTGCGCCTGCTGGACCGACTCGAACTCGTCCGTTCCGCAACCGACGGGACACTCTTGGGGAATTTTAATCCTGTTGCGAATCTAAGAAGAAAGATTCTGTCGATTTGGAGCGTGATCCGCATTTATTTTTGCTCGCTTAGATGATCAATCTGTCTGTTAAGTTCAAAAAAGTAAAACACAAATTCACGGAATTCCATCAATATAGTAGAATCTATTTAGATTGTAGATGAACTAAACGTGGGTAATTTTATATCGTATCGTTATCCTTGTTGCATTTTCACCATCTCTGTTCACGCATCCTCAAAACAAAATTTTCATATGTATATCGGAAGTGGGATGAATTGCGGGCCGCCGAAATTGGGGCTTATAGTACTAATGCGATATTAAAAATTTAATGACATAAACGAGATTCCCTCCCAAAAGTTGTCAGTATCAGACTATAGTTCTGGGATTATCCGACAAAGATGGGCTCATCTCCAACTTACATTGGGTTAAACAACAAGGCTTGGTTTGTCCTAGTTTATTTCGATCGCATTTGACGAAGTTTAAAATGTATGTAAACGGCATATGTGTGCGGCGCCTTTTCCACCTAACAAACTTGGACTAAACATATGTGTGTCATTTCTTTCAAGTCTTTAAAAAATTGTGATAAAGTAATATACATCTGCTGAAATATTTACGCCCTTCACCCTGCCACCCCTTAATCCCTATTTAACGTAATTACGCACAGTCCCGATCGCACTCTTCCATCCACAGTGGTTAAAAAGCACAGCGATCCGGGATAAGCCTATTACCGATCTGAATTGTGCGCCATAGAACAGGCGGTATCACACTTTTTCACTTTTCAATGAACAGAAATTCTAAATTCCAATTTATTTTAAGCAAACGGTTTTCTATTTGCCGCTAAATGATCATTAATGGGATTAAGTCAGGCGACTTTCTCCGCAGATTACATTTAAGTTTAGTTGAAGTTTTTCTACGTTAGTTAAATTGCAAAGTTCACTATTTATTTACGACTAACGCATTTGTGCTTTTCTTGAGCGTCGTTTCTGGGAATTTCTTCATTTAGATTTCTCCCTATTGCTTACATATTATATGCAGCAAATTCATTCCAACGAACAATTCCAACGAATTGAAAATCGATAACGATCTCTCGTTTAAATTCGCCCGGACGGCAGACAGTTTTTCAGGCTTTGCATTTCATCATTTTAAACACATTTAGCTATATTGCATAACGATTGAAAAATAACTATTCAAGTTTGGTATAAAATTTGAGTTTGAGTTGATGATCTTTACACAAGTCCTGCTATGCATGTGGCTGATGTGAATCGAAAAACAAATAACCAATATAGAAATCCTAAGTGATTAAAGAGTCTTGCTGCACACTAACACAAATATATTTCTGTAACGTTTCGTCTGACCAAGGTTAGACTCGAAGTGGTGTTATCATGTCAGAGAACTTTTTGCCCACTAACTTCGTAGCTTGTTGCATCATCATCGTGGTAACTTGTTTTTTCATTCGTAAACCCGAAATTTCCATCCATTATATAAGCTGCAGGCCTGCAGTATTAGATATCGATGAAGGCAATGTTTTTTGTATTGTAATTTAAAACTGCCTCCGCTACCAGCTGGGAACTGTGTAGTATCCGATTCATGTTTTAATTTATTCCTACTAAATAGTATAGAATATTATAGCCTACTAATTTTTCATATTTTGTGAAAATGGCGAAAATAGTTGGATAATTTCATCTATAAAAATGAACAAAAACCGAATAACATGAGAAATGGCTTGAAAAATGGAAAACAAATTAGTCTTCGAGTGAATAATAACAATATCATAACTATTTCATACACTTACAAATTAATTCTCAGAACTTATTTTTAAAATTCGCTAACTAAGCTAAATGTGTCATAAGCTTATGGACGATTCACCATAAACATAGACAATTTGGAAACAGACAGATGTGGTCTTCAGCTCGTGAACAGGCTCTAGCATTTTATTACAAGATGCTGTATAACCTTATATGGTCATCATTATACGTTTTTCTGGATTTTGATTTACATGCAAATTCATCGTGTTTTTGTAGTTTGGTTATATATGGAAGTTGAGGTTATGTTTATTACGTGTATGTGTGTGAGAATAATTACAAAAAATGGTGTCGCCATGTCAGTGAAATTTAATTACTGAAAATAATGTACTATACTAAATTTATATTGATGTGATGCTCTTTGTATTTCCCGTGTCTTTGGGATTACTTGAAGGAGTTTTAAAAAGCTCATTCACCTAACGATAAATAAATAAATTTGATTCCTGGCAGAGTCATTGGGTAAATTGGGTTCTGTTTATCTATATTTTTTAAATACTGTGTTTTTGCAGAATCACAGAAAACCGAAGCACAAAAAGAAGCAGAAAAAGCATTGTTGGATCAATTAGTCTGCCTTGTCAATGAAAGAGATCGATTGGTCAGACAAATTGATGAGAACGAACAAATGTAAGTCTTTGTAAAAAGAAAATTTTTATTTATTATTTTTGATGAAAAATAGGTGACAAAATCAATATCATTATATGTAAAATAATTTTTTTTTTCGTCAGGGCGGTAGACGAAGATATGCACGTACAGACAAATCTAGATCAAAATATGTCCAAAGTATTCGATCAAGATCAAGAAAAATGTTCTGTCATGTAATTGAAAAAAAGGTTTCGTTCACCAAAGAATTGAATCGGGGAGCAACTTGTAATTGTGATGTTTGTACGATTTACGCACAAAAAATGATGTTACTCCATATCGATTCTATTCACTTTCTGGATCCTGAGTTGTACTAGAACGTCGTCTAATACAACCCAGGATTCAGAAAGCGAATGGAATCGATAAACACTTTAGGACTGTAGCAAATCGTAAAATTTTTTATGTTAAATCGTCTTTTTTTTTTCTTTGACTGCATTTACATCTGCATACGTAATGTTTTGTGAGTTACAATTAGAGAACTAACTTTTTACTCTCGTCGCATATTTTTTATTGTTTCAAGATATAACGACCGACCCAACAGTGTTATGTAGTGTACACGTTGTCGAATTGAGATTTTAGCTGATTTTCTCCTTTTGCTGCTTTATAAATGAATTAAGTCCTCAAATATAATACTCAAGGTGTCGGCGATCTATCTCAGTCCTCTTGCGGTAATATTTTGCCACTGAGCCATTGAAAGTTGACGAAAAGTGAAAAAGCAGAAAAGGCTGTCGTTAGTTTTGGTTCCCCGATGTATGAAAATTGTATTATTCGTTTTTATAAACAATTGTCGTGACAAGTAAGAGCTTATGTGATGCCGTGTTTGATTATATACTCTGCTGACAATGCTTAACCTTGCCATACATACCCCGAGGTTCATGCTATATTAATTTGTATATTTAAGTTTACTAAAATTTGATAAAGTAATTTGAATTTTCTTAGGATTTCAGAATAATTGTCTGCTGAATCCAAATTACGTCCGTTGTTGCATTTTAATAAATATCAACACATGACTGATTACTGAGATGATTTATTCAATCAGAATGTATACATTATATAATTTCATTATTTTCTGATATTGCTCGAGAAACGGCAGTTTTATTGACAAATTGTATATTATAACTTGATCATTAATTTCGTGATATAGTGTCAGTTGTTTCGAATTTCTTCAAATTTTCGTAAATTTCATTGAAAGACGAAAGTAAACGCGTTTAGTATTGAACGATCATATTTAACTTTTTATGCAAATTATGTTTCGTTGTATTATATGTGTCAGTACTGCCCAAAATGACGTTCTATGTTTGAAGCATGCGCTAATAGAAGCAGTCAGTCAACTTGATCGTTTCGTATTTTTATTATGATATTATGTCAACTGTTTTGTGCGCGTTTCCGATCATTTAGGCCAGTTCTGACTGAGTCAAAATATTTTCGGAACGATGTGTACTTGATTTCATATGTCCTTCGCCATGGGTGGGACTCGAACCCAGAATCTGTAACCCCTGATTCAACCATTTCGTGTCAATTTCGAAGCAGTTTTTTTGAACTGTAATAACTGGTAGTATGATAATATTTCTCATCTTCTATATTTGAAGGACTGTTTATTTTACGAGTTTCGTTCCAATATTGCCTTTGCTTTATGTGTATTATTATTTCATGCAGTTCTACCATAAAAGTCGAAAAGTGTCACATTATTTCCTACTTCGAATAAATAGTGCAGTTTTAGCTTCCAATCCATGTGCCTCTGCCGTTCGTTCGGAATCATAATAAATGTAATTATTGTTACCTTTTTTCTTTATTCTTTATCTTTTTTTCTTGTGATATTAAAAGCATCTTTATGTTCTAACCAAGATATGTCATGCATCTACGTTGTTATTATTATTATTTCATTCTCACAATTGCGATAATTATAATGAATAAAATAAATAAATATAAATGTTGTTGAAAAAATTTGATGTGATGTGTTTCGTCGATTGTTCAGTCACGTGGTAGAGATGGCGTTTGTCTTGTCAGTTCTAATTAGCTCAGAGCCTATTAGGAAAAAGATTTAGAATAGTCATGACTCTCGCTTTTCATCATACTCGGACGTCCCCATTTCACATCTACTCTAATCTGAAAAGTATCACAAGCGCAGTGCTTCAAATGGGCTTGCAGTGTAAAACATGTACACATATTTACCTCCGCTTAGCAGCGTTATGAGGAATGCTAGAAACGATTAAATAAAAAAAGTGACGTATCCATGCGGATTTTACAGACAGACAGATTTACAGTCTGATTAAATTTATTCGCATGTTCTGCTCCTGATGATTATTTTATCGATGGTCTGAAATATGGCCACGATCCATTTAAAACACTGTTTTTTTTTTCCTCAAATATTTGTGCGCCAATTTCCAGCTTTCTATCATTTCCTTCAATATTTATGCATCTTTACTGGCCCGAAAATTGACATTATATCAAAAGTTAATTTAGAATTTTTCTTCCACGATTTGATTTTTACATCAGTTTAGTTATGCCAGATCTAATAAAGGCAAAAGATGAAAAAGCCGACCATACATCGTCATCTAGATTTTTTCTTCCGATATATTTTTCTCTGAAAATCAAAGTCATTAACATAAATTGTTCAAGTGTGAATGGTGGATGATAACTGCCTGATTCAGATGCCACACATGGTCTTTAAAAATATATCGGCTGCACAATTAATATTGTAGAAAACCCAAAAAATCATGTTTCTCTGATAGTCTTTTAAAAATTGTCAATCTCGCGGCCGCGTCGGGCGATTTTGTCTCGTAATCCGCCTTGTCCATAAACAAACAAAGTAGCGATTTATTTATTGCTGCTATCTAGTAATTTATCATATTTATTTATTTTTTTTCTTCATTTTATATTTCCAAACTTATTTTTAAAAATCAAATCTAAACATGGTACATGGGCATGGCCAAGTCGACAATCCAAAATGATTGCAAAATCACGTCATGTAACGAACTCAGCGATAGGTTATTTATACCAATTTACAGCGATATGTAATATAAGACTAGTGAAGTCATGCCTGAATATTCCAAACCTTACCTATTTTTACAACAAGTTTTGTTTCTACTCTTGCTTGTTACACAATTCTCCTGACCTACTATGATGACAAGATTGAATTAATTAAATCACAATTTGCAAGAATAAATATTTTAAAAATTCTAATTTTTTTTGAAATTTTTGCCGTTGGGTAATAGAGCAATGACGCAGTTGGCAGTTAATTTTCAGATTAGTTAGTGTTCAATTTAGTCGATAAGTAATTTTGTCACTTTTTGGATCTAACCTCATGTAACTTCTCGAATCAACCTTCTCAGAATGCGGACACTGTAATATTCACGTCCTCTTTAACTTACATTTAGTTTAACTACGAGCCTTTGTAATTCATTTTCACAAGTTCCTTACCTCTGGTGTGATGATTCAATTATATATCACGGGTTCAATATATATCAGATGTCTGATTAGTGGTTTGTGAGTTTGTACAGTGTGATCGGATTTCACAAAATCCACAGAAATATATATTCGTTTTTCAATTTTATAATTCTGTTGCATGCGCTAAAATGATGAATATTCAATGTAGATGAAACTCTTTTTGGGACCGTGTCTATTATTATATATTGCAAATTCTATCTAGAAAAAGACGTTTTCAAACCATTTTAGTTGGATTCCGGCAGTGGTACCGTACCGCAAAGCGTGTCGCTTTATCGCGGATAAGCCCGTTAGCGGCAGATAAAAGCCGTATCAGACGCATTAGTTGCGTTATAGAATCTCATTCAACGTAGGTTTAAGCTCATTACAGTTAGCGACTAACTACATTTTAACGAAACAGGGCGTTGATAATTTTATTATTTTCACTTATAATGCATGGGGATTAAACATTTTACAGAAACATCTGACAGTAATATACACAATAAAAAATCCCATAAATTCTACTAACATAATAAAACATAACCATTGGAACTGAGTAAAGAAGGTAAAACCAAGCATTTCTAGTCTTGAGTCCGGCTAACACATTTATTTTATATTTATTTTATTTTATTTTTTCAATTTTGAAACTATTTCAATATAGTCGATGAATATACATTTTATTTAATTTTCTTTGAATGATAAATATATACAGAGAGTATGCCCTCAGTAAAGTGAATATACTAAGCTTACAAGATTTTTCGAACTTATTAAATGTACAAAATTCGTTGTACTGTGCATAATGTCATCAATATAATCGCAATGCATAGATTACCTTGGAGATGAACTGGGTGTGATTATTTTTGAGTTATATTGAGGCCTACTAATCAAAGAGAACGAGTTCGATTCATATTATTTTATATATTGCTGAATTCCAAGAAATCCTGAATCTAAATTTTTGATTGAAAATACGATTTTTGGTGGTTACTTTACAGTCTACACTACAGCATATACAGTTTTCTCATCAGTCAAACAGAAATGGAAAGCTCATGAATCAAGCACTTCGATTCATGACATCGAGCTGTATATCTCATGACTCAGAATAAACGAACCTCCATAACACGAGTCAAATTTTGAATTATTGATTCGAATTAAATTGAAGTATATTAATTTTATGAAATTGAATTCTAATAATATGACTTGAGTCTGATATCAGTCGAGTCATAACGCTTAGTCGAATGAGACAAGAGTCGTGGCTATAACTGCCACTTCAGATCGATACTAAAGTCGAATATCATGAAAGATGTTGCACATCTCAAAATTGCTCTAAATGTTTCATACAGAATCAGCTGTCAAATTCAAGTTGCTTTTCAGACGGTGTCACTTTACATAAAATAAAAGAGTTTATCTTTTCAACCGATTTTCACTAGAAAGAACATGATTATACGAGTACGGGGGTGAAAAATATGATGGGAGGGTGAACAAAGTTGCACATATCAAAAGAAACAGTAGCAAAAATATACATGTACAGTCATCTTTTGTTATAATAGGTTTGTATTTTTCAACGTCATTTTAGCTTCACTTAATTGTATACAATAGCCAGACGGCTTGTTTGCTTTCCCATTTATGCTACCGCTTAAATTAAAAACTTTTCAAACCAAATAACTATTATCGGATTTAGTTTTCAAGACGGCTGCGTTAATGTTTCTCCGGCGCTTGATCTCACGGAATCGTGTTTCGTTCAAAATACCTAGAACCCGGTAAGTATGTATGTGGTCGCTCTATTGCTATGATCTGCTCTCACTGTCGTTTACTTAAGCCAACGGGCCCCACAGAACCTCGACGCCGTCAAACTTTTTTAACTCCCTCCTTTCCCCTTCTCTTGTCAAAATTGGAACAAGCAAGATTCTAGGGAAGAACGAGCATAAAAAGTTCTATCAAGCATCGGTTCACGGTTTGACTTGCTTGGTGGTTAAATGTCCTACCCTTTTCCGAATCCCAATTGCTACTTTACTGGGGGTCGGAATGCTTTATTTTGCCGATAGAGCGTCGAACGGATTATATACTTGAAACTCCTGATTGTTGTTTTTGTAGAATGGACATCGTATCATACATTTCTGATATATGTTTAAAATATGTACTATTTTTATATTACTGTATTCTATCTACTATCGATTGTGCGTATAGGATAGTGAGAAACGGTGAACGAGGATAACTTACTGCGTAACTAGATAATCGAACCAACTGACATTGGCAACCGTTCAAGTTTGAGGTTTGTCTAGCCCGTCATATAATAGGGTTGAAAAGTTCACAATCTCGTTGTTTTACCCCAATAGAAAAAGTACCCCGAAGTCTCTTTGATGCGCTATCCGTGTGGGGTAAAAATAATGTTATTATTACCCATATTCGGCATACGCAGACAGGGCAGATTTGTCATAACCGGGTCACTACGCCATTTTGACTATCAACGTAAAGGGTGGGTGACAACCATTTTAAAAATGTTCTGTTGATTTCAAGAAGGAAGCACCCGTGTTCAAATCGCGAACCAGATTGAATAACGGACCAGGTACGTGTCAAAATTTTGTCTTAGTTTTTGTACGAATGCGATTGTTCAGGACAGTGATGTAAATAATTAAGCAACATCTAATTGAAGCGATGGACGGCCCAGTTTTGATATTTTATGACAGTAAACTTTCACGGAATCGCAATTTCAGAGACGTTCTCCAACCATGGCTTATAGTCGATGGTATTCCATCATTGCTTTTCACCTAATCTGTTTGACAAACTTAGTTCAAATTATTCCGCTCCATTCCATTATATACTTTCCATTATTTTTTCTCTAGCGAAGAATCAATGAAATAAATCACCCAATAAATTATCTAATAGATAGATAATAGATTGATTCTTTCTAATAGTAGATTAAACAACCATGAGAAAATTATATTGAGGCAGCTCATTGTTGTGCGTAAATAAAATATTTGTACAGTTTTAGTTTTTGAACTGTTAAATTGCTTATATAACTTGTTAAAGGTACCTCACAATACACACAAATTTTATACAAAAAGTGTAATATGCCCGCGAGTAACAAAGCAATAATTGAGAAAGGAACCGTTCGTTTTAATACAATAATTGCCCGCATCTTAAACAGGCTAATATTAAAATAACACGGGATTAATAAAGCCTGGTGGCTAAATGCCACGACACAAGTTTCATATTTGAAGAAATATAATCACAAACTATCACAGCAAAAATCAATGCGACAAGCGAATGTCTGAAATCTTTGAGAATAAGTATCGATAGAATAACCATCTATTCAAATTTTTCTCACTGAGTAAATAATAATTTGGTGCAAAAATAGTATTTCAAAACTGGCTTATAAAAAAAATGAATCGTATAGCATGGCACATTTTTTGCATTTGCTGTTAACTTCCAATAATTATTGTTTTCAGGTCATAAAAATATCTATATTAGAGTCGTAATATTATTTCTTAGCTGGAATATTTTTTATCG